CCCCAGGCCCCTCCACCCTGTTATCATAAGACTGACATATCCTGTTTTTCTAAACTTGCCCCACAGGGTGGGCAAACTGGACCAGCTGGATAAGTGTTTGGAAAAGAGTAGGCGGGGCTCCCAGGCAGCCCTGTAAGCGAGAGGCTGAGATTGATTTTCCCCTCTCCTTGGTTTTTCAGCTGGGCCACTCCCTGAGGAGGCAGGGGTGTGAACCATCCCACCCACTGGTGGCCCATGATTCATTCATCCACTACATCACTGAGAAGCATTGGCTAAAGGAGCAGCATTGTGTTAGGTCCTAGGAACACAGTGAGGAATGTTTTAGCCATGGCACGTGAGACAGCCCCACTGAATGTGGCTGGGCATGGGAACTGCAAAAGCAGCTGGCTTTAGCTCTAGCATAAACAAAGCCCAAGGAAGGCTCTGGGCTAGATGTTTTCGCTGTAGTTCATTTAGTCTTAGGATAGCCCTAATGAGGTTGTCCCGTTTTATAATGGGCATACTGTATTCACAGAGGTGAAGTGGCTTCCCAGTGGCAGCCAGGATTTAAAAGATTCAACTTGGCCTGTAGTGTTCCCCATTTCACCTCTACTTGTATTGCTATCTACAGGTCTGTAAGACCTCTGTATTGGATACAGTAAATCAGATTCAGAAGTATTGTATCTTGGGATCATTCATAAAGGCTGATGAGAAGGGAGAACCTTTCTCACTGGATCTTGAGCCCAGGAGTTGAGTGGAATAAGAAGACAGAGAGCAGATAATCTGATGACTATCCTCTTGGAATCACCCCTTCCATCCAGAGTGCTGAAGCTACAGTGGGAGGCATTTCTTAGATGTTTACTCTCTCCATCACAGACCAAAACATAGACACCTCAGGACGTAGACATTTCTCTTTACAGGAACAATCAGAAATGTTCTCTCCTACAAATAAGCCCAGGCACATGCTATCCCCAGAAGACCCTGAAGAGCTCAGTGGGCAGTCCTGGTCCTCAGAATGTCGCTGTGAAGGAGGCCAAGGCAATAGTGTCCTGAATGAGGGAGAAGGACTTGGTTTTCTGAGGAAAGGCCTTGCTGCATACCCCGAGAGTCGCCCTAGAGCTTAGATCCTCTTGCCATGGCCTCCGGGCGCTCAGATTAGATATATCACAGCTAGACTTGGCTAAGCAAGCAGAGACTAGCTGAGCACTCCACTGCTGTTGTCGGCTTCCCCTTACATCCTGTGTCAGAGCAGCTTGTCATTGGCAGTCACAAATGGCAACAGACACAATGACAAAAATTGGGCCTTTAAGCCAGGTATAGTAAGTAGCTCACTTCTGTAATTCCTCAGCTCATGGGAGGCTGAGCCAGCAAGGCTGCAGCAAGTTCAAGGCCAGCTGGGACTACATCATGAGTTCCATGCCAGTCCCCAAGCTAAACACACACAAACAGATAAGTTGGCCTTAGAACTATGTGGAAGAAACTGAGGGTGTTGTAATAGTCTGAAGGAGGGAGCCGAAAGTGTTGTGACTCGAGAGTCACCGCACATTCTTCTTCCTCACATTCCAGATGACTTTGTGGTCTCTTAAGAAATGTACTGGTCAATATAAATGGCTACCGGGTCTTATCTTAGGAGAGGGGCGGCCAGCACCTTTCTCACTGTCGCCTCTACCTTCCCTAGATATGTGCAGGTGAAATTTGTCTGTATTCGGACGCAGTCAAACAGGAAGAGAACACGGAAGGTGGACAGGTGTCCAGCGTACCTGCTCCTGCAGTACAACGAGAGACTAGATAGGCTGTTTATCAGTGAGCTGAATACCCAGCACATCCATGCCGACTCTGCTGCTGCTGGAGGAGTCCCTTCTAGCAAACTTCAGAAGGCAATATGTCTGCACAAACTCCAGCCAGTGCAGCTGAGCATCAAGAAAGACCTTGATACAGCAGAGAAGGCCCCAGTAGAGCCATCTTTTTGCCTAGATAAGATACACAAGCCCTCAAATCCAGAGCAGGAGGGCATCAGCCCTTCAGATATGGCCAAGATAGCAAAAGTGATGAAGAACTTCCTTACCGTGGACGAGGGCTCAATGGCCTCCTTCAGTGTGGGTACCAGCCAAGACCTAGACCGACTCAGCTTCCAGAGTAGCAAGATGAGTGACCTGTTCACCCGATTCCCAGAGACTCTCTTGCTGCACCGAGTGGAAAACAGCCAGGGCCATACTCTGTATGCTTTCTTGGTGGAGAACAAGGAGCGGGAGAGTCGAGTGGTGCACTTCGCTGTGCTCAAGGCGGAGACAGCTCCTTCTGTGGCCACGATGCTCAGTATCTTTACCGAGTTCAACTCTGATTGGCCCAAGGTCAAGATGATTTTTGTGGACCCTTCATTCCCTTACCGAGCTATTCTACAGGAGATTTTCCCCGCTGCCCGCACCCTCCTCTCTATCTACCACACAACCCGTCTCTTGGAGAAGAAGTTACACCAGAGTTCAGTAAATGCATCTTTTAAAAGGCTCATGAAAGAAGCTCTGCGGGAAGCTGTGTTTGTCTCTTCTGATGCAAGCCTAAAGACTCTCTGTGAGATGTCCCAAGCCCTCCTGGACGAGGAGCTCTTCCGCTTCCTCCAGGCCCACTGGTTCTCCTGTGAACTGCTGTGGTACGTGCATGTGAGGAAGGGCCTGCATGCATGTAACACCTACATGGACAGCCTGGACATAGTCACCAGCAAGGTGTCAAGCCTCTTCCGGGAACGGCGGTCCCTGCTGGACTGCATCCTTCACTTTGTGGACTACATAGACTTCTTTAATACCAAAGGTCTGAAGAGCTTGCCCACAAATTCTCCCAAGTTAAAGAGAACTAGGCTCCCAAGCACACCTCCAAGGCCCAAAAAGCCTTTTAGTATTTGTGGAGGGGGCAACACCAGGCTCCCTGTGGAAGAGGTAGAAGAGGCAAAGCCAGACTCAGCGCAGTCTCAGTTGCCACAGCCCCAGGATCAGCCCTCCAAGGGTGGCATGCTAGACATCTTGCACCAGAGTGGCTCTGAACTTGCCTACAAGTTGTGTCATAATGAGTGGGAGGTGGTACAGAATTCCACCCACCTGGTGGACGAGGCTGGCTCCTCGGTAGCTGTTCAGCTGCTAGAGAACTCACACCAGGTGAGCAAAGATGGCTGCAGCTGCAGCTGTTCCTTTCAACAGTGCTACCATCTGCCATGCCGCCACATTTTGGCTCTGCTACACACTAGCCAGCAGCCAGTAGGGGAAGCCATGGTGTGCTGCCGGTGGCAGAAGAAATACCAGCACCTCCTTGACCCCAATGGGGAGCTGCAAGACCGTGGAATAATCCCAAACACAGATCAGCCTGAAAAGCAAGGTCAGAACCACATTATTCAGGACCTAAGCAGGGAGCTGGCAAACCTGCTGATGCAGACCGAGGGGCCAGAGCTGGAGGAGCGCTGCTCTACCCTGCGCAAGATTGTGGACATCTGGGCAGACCCCTATCAGCTGCCTGAGTCCAGTCAGCAGCCGGTTGACTTCAGAGACGTGGGCTGCCTCCCTTTCCTCTGGGGAAAGCTAGAGGAAGGAGACAGCCCCCCTCTTGCTGAAGCCATGGTTCATGATTGAAGTGTTTGCACTAGTGAACTCCATCTCCAAACCACCTTGAGACAGTTCAAAGTGGTGAGCCAGGCTGTAGGTCAGTATTTTTATCAGTGTCTTCCTAGGTAAGGGCTAAGAAGATCTTAAAACCAGGGGAGAGGATTCCATTGTGACAGTCCTTGACCCTGCCCCATTTCAGCCCTGCCCTTGGCGCTCTACAGACACCTCATTCATTGTTCAAAGCCAAAGTTACTCCATACGGAAAGGTCATGCTCCTTTCTTCCCAGCCTACAGAGATGAACCCTTGCCCAGGTTAGAATAAACAGAATGGGCCTGGAAAGAAGCTTTGTTTTCAGAGACGGGGAGGAGGGTAGCCCTTGATTGTCGACTGTTGCTGCTCTTTAGAAAATACCTGTTATGTATTTTTATTCACACTAATAAAGTCGGGTTTTGTTTTTGTTTTACTTTTGTGTTTTTTCGAGACGGAGCCTCATGTAGCCCAGGCTAGCAGCCTCAAGGAAACAAGTATTGTCTAATGGGGTCTGGTGCTTGACATTCAAAGGATTAGAAATGCATCACCACTTACTCTGCCCCAACTAAGCCTGCAACACAGATGTTAGGTTGTCTTGTTCATTCTATTCAGGAAAGGGACCAGTGGACCAGGACAGAAGAGTGACCTAATGACCTAAATCCTAGATTTTTTTTTTTTTTTTTTTGGTTTTTCGAGACAGGGTTTCTCTGTGTAGCCCTGGCTGTCCTGGAACTCACTCTGTAGACCAGGCTGGCCTTGAACTCAGAAATCCGCCTGCCTCTGCCTCCCAAGTGCTGGGATTAAAGGCGTGTGCCACCACCGCCCGTCTCTATTTTATTTTTGAGAGAGGCCTATACTGGATGGAACTTGATGTAGACCAGGCTGGCTTCTGCTTCCCAGGGGCTAGGAATACGTGTGACACCACACCCAGCTGTTTAACACTTGGTCTTACTAGGTTGCCTGAGCTAGCTTCAAACTCTTGATCCTATCTCAGGCCCTGAATAACTGGAATTACAAGCCTCAGTTTCTCCACAAGGCAAAGAATGCAGTATGACATTTGCACCTTTTTCCATTGTTCTGTATCTTCGGAGCTTTAAAGCTCGATACCCGACAAACTAAATGTTTCCGTATAAAACACTGCTCTTTATTTTATTTTGGCCGTTAAAAGGTGCCGCCTTTCCAGCCCCTTCTAAGGAAGGGAGGCTTCGCCCTCGGGCAGCCGGTTCCGGTGTGAACATCCTTCCACAAGCTCTCATTGGTGATTTCTGGCCGAGCCCCCTGTAGCCCTGGCAACAGCCCCGTCCCAAGTTACACAGCGAGCTCCTTTGGGCTGAGTCATTGCGAAGCTGGCGTGGTGATTGGCGAGGCTGGACGTCAGTCAGAAGGAGGCGGGCCCAGTGGGAGAAATGGCTGCCGCGTCTACCCGTGCGTGAACGGTCTCAGCCAAGGAGGCGTGAAGCCGGGTCGCAGCGATTAGTGCGTACAGCTTCCACCAGTGGAAGGTGGATTTCGGCTCCGCTGAGCTTGAACACGAACCTCAGCCTTCCGCATCCCCCACCCGGGCTCAGGTGAGGTCAGAGGCCGCCTTCCCTTCCTGGTCCATATTTTGGGACTCTAGGATGCCATCAGGATCTGGAGCCAAAGACTCGGCTTCCAGCTGTCGTAATGGTGGACAGATAGCCTATGTCTTTGTACCTGAGTCATCTGCGAAATGGGGGCAGTAAATGGAGCCAAACGGGAAACATTTGCATAAAGTATTACAACCAATATATGTAGGCGCAGGAGAAGCTACACACACATGCTAGTCCCCTTTTATAGTGAAAGGAATTGAGTTTCAGAAAAGGCCACTTGGCTTACCTAATATTTCACAGCAGGTGAGCGGTCGTTTGGGATATGTACCAGGATCAAAAGAAAGAGTTAGCAAGAAATACAAGAATTTGTGAACAGAAAGGCCATACAAATATTTAGAATGATAATTTAAAAAAGAGAATTAAATGAGGTGACACATGCCTGAACCCCAGCACTTGGGAGCTGAGGTGAGAGGATTGCTGTGGGTTGTAGACAAGTCAGGGCTACACAGCAGGATCCTTCTGTAGAAAAAAGAAGGGCCACGTGTCATATGGGTGTTTTGTTTTGAGACAGAGGATTACTCTATGTAACAGCCCTGGCAGGCCTAGAACTCGCAGAGATCGGCCTGCCTCTGCCTCCCACGTGCTAGGATTGGTCATATGTTTCCAATCCTCTGTACTGCTAATGAGCTATGATCTCCTGTAGTCTAAAATGACCTTGAGCTGAGCCTGCCGCCTCCACCTCCCAAGTGCTGGGATTGATGCCACACCCAGCTCCCCAGTCCTTTTGTTTGGTTTGGATTTTAATATGTGTGAAGAGTTTGTGAGTGTGTGGTGGTTGTTGTTAGGGGTTTTGTTGGGTTTTTTGTTTTGTTTTTGAGACAGGTTCTCTCTAAATTGCCTATGCTGGCCTTAAGCCGATCTGGGGGATCTTGGCCTGGTGATCCTTCTGCCTCGGCTTTTTTTTTTTTTTTTTTTTTTTTTTGGTTTTTCGAGACAGGGTTTCTCTGTATAGCCCGGGCTGTCCTGGAACTCACTCTGTAGACCGGGCTGGCCTCGAACTCAGAAATCCGCCTGCCTCTGCCTCCCGAGTGCTGGGATTAAAGGCGTGCGCCACCACCGCCCGGCCTGCCTCGGCTTTTTAGGTAGCTTGGATCACAAGTGTACACCACTGCACGTGACTTCCTGCCCTTTTTAGTCCCTGGGAACCATGTTTCTATGGCTGGCTTGTTACTTATGTCTCATATCCAGGGGAATCTGCCCTATAGACGGCTTCCCACCATAGCTAGTGTACCCTGCCTTCCCCAGCATGCTCTGGCCTCTTTCTCATCTTTGTGGCTTTTATACTCATCCAGTGTGTCCTTATGTGCTTGTTGTAGATCTGCCCCTAGAAGATATATAGTGTGTGATAAGCCTTGAAATATTGTCCAGATAGAGAGTTGAAAACCCAGGTCCCAACTCAAGTGTCTCTTCCTTTCCCTAGGCCCATCTGAAACAGTACCTAAAACTACAGTCTAGCTTCAAGCATCAAATTACGTGGCACTTGAGAAACATGTTTCCCTGACGGTGATCCTGCAGCAGAAGGATCCTAGCCTGGGCTTTAGACGCTTGCCAGCACTCCATGGCCCTCACGATGCTGAACGGTCTACTTATTAAGGACTCCAGCCCACCCATGCTGCACCAGATTAGCAAGACTCCTCAGCTGGATGCCTTCAACTACCAAAGCTGCTTCATGCAAGACCTCTTCGCTCACTTCCCTGAGGTCTTATTCATACACCGGACCTATAACCCCAGAGGCAAGGTGTTATACACCTTCCTGGTGGATGGACCCCGGGTCCAGGTTGAGGGTCCTCTTGCCAGAGCTGTGTACTTTGCCATCCCTACCAATGAAGATGCCAGAGGCCTGGCCCAGATGTTCCAGGTGTTCAAAAAGTTTAACCCAGCATGGGAGAGGGTCACCACCATCCTGGTGGACCCCCACTTCCTCCTGCTGCCCACTCTGACCATGGAGTTCCCCACCGCTGAGGTCTTGCTCTCCGCCTTCCACATCTGTAAGTTCCTCCAGGGTAAATTCTATCAGCTGTCCCTAGAGCAGTCTGTGCAGAGGGTGCTTCTGTCCTCCCTGCAGAGCACAATGTGCTCCGCCACCGCTGGCAACCTGAGGAAGCTCTACACACTCCTGAGTGACTGCATCCCCTCCAGCAGGCTGCCCGAGCTACACTCCCACTGGCTGCTCAATGACCGCATCTGGCTGGCCCACCGCTGGAGAAGCCGAGCCCAGAGCAACCGATACTTCCAGAGTCTGGAGGTCACAGCCCACATCCTCAGCCAGTTTTTTGGCACCACCCCTTTTGAGAAACAAGGCATGGCATCTGTGTTCCGATACATGCAGCAGAACTCTTCAGACAAAGCCAGCCTCAGCCTGGCAGAGAGTCCCCAGGACAGTCACACTCCTTCAGAGGCCAGCCCTGAAAACCCCAACACAGAGCAGTTGGTGGAAGCCCGTATCCAGCACTCCCTCAATGCCATCTGCACAGGGCCAGCTGCCCAACTCTGCCTGGGCGAGCTCGCCGTAGTCCAGAAATCCATGCACCTCATTGGCTCTGGCTCAGAAAAAATGAACATACAGATTCTGGAGGACACGCACAATGTCCAGCCCCAGTCCCCCGCCAGCTGCAGCTGCTACTTTAACCAAGCCTTCCACCTGCCCTGCCGCCACATCCTGGCCATGCTCAGTGCCCGCCAGCAGGTGCTCCAGCCCGACATGCTGCAGGCTCAGTGGACCTCAGGCTGTGCCACCAGTCTAGACAGTATCCTGAGCAGCAAGTGGAGTGCCAGCCTGGATAAGCACCTGGCGGTGACCCTCCTCACTGAGGAGGTAGGTCGTCTCTTACAGCACTGCAGTGAGGAGGAGTTCGAGTGTCGCTACAGCACCCTGCGGGAACTAGCCGACAGCTGGATCGGCCCTTACGAGCAGGTCCAGCTGTAATCACAGGGACACACCCAGTACTGGGGACTGAACCCAGAGGAGGACAAGTGTTAGGCAGGTACTCTACTACTGCCGCTCTCTATTGCTTCCTCTCAGATAGCCTCTCACTAGGTTGCCCAGGCTTCCTCTTGAACTCACTCTGTAGACAGGCTGGCTTTGAACATGTGAACCTCCTAACTAGCCTGCTAAGTAAGTGGGATTACAAGCCTGTGTCAGTAGACCCAACTTCTGATTGTGTTTGTGCCCTGAAATGTTCACCTACATAGGAGCACTCCCTTCCTTCCCTCTGCACATGCTCTGTGCTTCCTTCCAAGTTTCTCCTCTGCTCCAGCCGATTGTCTAGAATGTGTCAGGCTCCATAGGACAGAAGTCAGGAAATCTTTTCTGTTAAGGACTCAGTAGTAAATATTACAGGCTTTGATGACCAAATACAGTCTCTGCTGTGCATTCTGGCTTCAGTTTTGGCAACTTTTTCATAAGGAAAAATGATTTGTAGCTCAAGAAATTTCTGGAAACAGGTGATAGTGAAATAAGAGAAAATAATGAGTGATGAGGCTGAAGGGTCTGTGTCGGTACCTCCTGCTCAGTCACAGGAGTCACCTGACACTGGCCCTGGAGCCTTCCCACAAAGGAAGAGGCTACTTTGGTGAGGTTGCCAAGTGTCTCAGTTTTCCTGTCCCACTCTAGGATCAATAAAGTGAATGTTGTCCCCACACTTGTCTTGTTGTCTGGTTTATACGTGGTCCTTTTGTGTTGTGAGAGGAAGAGCCTTGGCCCGGTGGTGCTGCCTGTGTGCTCACTCGGCTCTTGCTTTGCCTGCCATTGTTTTCAGGCCTGGTTCTGCCTTTACTATCAGTGAGACCCGAGAGCGCTCTCCAGGCTCCAGCTTGTCTGTAAAGTGGGCATCCTCACAGGGCTGGCTGGAATAAAGAAGAATGGACTTCTTTTTGCTCAGCCAAGGGTTCATTTTCCATCATTCGCCTATAGTCCCATCTCCTTTCAGCATGCTGGGACACAAGGCAACAGGAAAGCCATATTGTCTAGGACTTTAGACAAGAAAAATTTACTCTCCCAAAAGGGCTTCCTACTTAGGTACCCTGATTTAATCTGCTCAGACCTGTGGTGGTATGAAGAACTTCCTGCAGGATGGTCCTGACAAAGCAGTGCAGTCTGTCAGGGTGGCTCAGTCACCCACACCCTCTTCCCATCCCTGCCAGAGCCATCCCCAACCTTATCTGCCCAAAAACCATACGGAGAAGCCGCCCTATGTATCTCATGCTATTTCATCCGACTACAAGCAGGAGCCCCTCCTGGATCTCACTAAAGGCATCTGTCCAGAAGCCATGTGGGCATGTGCCTGCTCCCACTGCACCCCCTCCACAGCTCCCTCTGGCTCTGGATGGGCCATCATGAAGGCTTGAGCCGCCCGGATCAGGTCCTCTTCCCGCAGGCCTGGCACAGGCACGGTAGGTATACCAGCAATCATCATGGCCAGGGTAAGGATGCAGATGTCAGGCTGGGAGCTGGCCTCTTTCCCCCCTGTCTCGGAAGATATTGGCAGAACCCCAGGTGACAGCCCACACAGCAGAAGGGGCCGGGGCCTGCTAGGGCCACCCAGATAGGGAGCCCTGCTTCTGGAGCAGGGGTCTGCCCAGCCCAAGCTCTCCAGCTGCCTCATGGGGGGCAATTTGGGGCAGTATCGGTTGTGTTCCTTTCTCCGAGGTGTCTCCCAGCTAACACCCCCAGAGCAGCCCCTGGCTTCAGGCACTGCCAAGGTGGGGCCCCAGGCCTGGGCAGCAGGTGCCACCTGCTCAGCTTTCTGGCTCAGTGGGCCTAATCCACCAGGTGCCACTGCCACTGGCTCTGCAGGACTATAGAGGCCAAGGGACGAGCCTGGAGAAGCAGCCCCACCTGCAGAGACAAGAATGAAATGGAATGTTATTCTTGGTCTCTTGGAGGAAGCGGCCCTGAGGGGCAGGGCCTGGGGACAGAGGCAATCAGAACCAGCCCAAGAGGGCGCTCAGAGGTTGGGAATGTAAGCAATTACTTATTTCCATAACCCCAGCCAGTCCCAATACTGCAGGTGACAGGGAAGGATTTTAAGTGAGTGAGTGCATAATTAGCAATTGGCAACGCCTTTTGGGTATCCTTTCTTTTTTTTTTTTTTTTTTTTTTTTGGTTTTTCGAGACAGGGTTTCTCTGAGTAGCCCTGGCTGTCCTGGAACTCACTCTGTAGACCAGGCTAGCCTCGAACTCTCGAACTCAGAAATCCGCCTGCCTCTGCCTCCCAAGTGCTGGGATTAAAGGCGTGCGCCACCACCGCCCGGCAAGTGATTGGGTATCCTTTCAAGAGGACTGATTCCAGGTTCAGCCCAAAAGCTTTCAGCAAAAGCTCCACCTCCCCAAAGCCAGGAAGCGACTTCATGTGGGAAGCTCTGTTGTGCCCCCACCCACCCACCCCCCAGTTCCAGGAACCACCTCTTACCTTGGCCAGAAGGCAGGAGACCGAGATGAGTTTGTGGAGACATGAAGTAGGACATGGCTGCCCCAGAGTCCCTGTTTGTGAGGGAATAGCCCTATTCCTCCTGCCCTTGTCCCCAGTTTTCTACAGTGTCACCTCATAGTTTACACCCAGACCCTACCTCACAATACTAACATGCTCATTATGGAACATACATGTCACAATGGGAGGGGATTAAATGGGCACTGGACCAGGATCAGGAAGGTCCAGGATTTTGTCATTATCTTGGTCAGGATCCACCTAGACAGGCAGTTTTTTGTCTTGCTTTCTTCTGGTGCTGGGGCTAGAACCCAGGGCTCTGCTGATCTGAGGCGTGAGCATTGCCTCAGAACTACATCCTCGTTGTCTGTGTATATGTGTGTTTTGTTTTGCTTTTTGTTGTGCTAGGGTTTGTTTGATTGGTTGGTTTTGTTTGTTGAGACAGGATCAAACTACTTAGCCCTGGCTGCCCTGGAAAGCCCTAGGGTCTACTTCCTGTTCCAGGCTTGTCTCCTGCTTGCTGAGATTACAAATCAGGAACCACCGTGCCCAGCCTATGTTGGCTTTTGTGTGGCTGGCCTCATCACCTTGAGCTTCCTGACTCAGTTTTCTAGGTGTTAGGAATATAGGCGTGTGCTGCCACACCTGACTCCACCTAGACAGTTGTTCCTCAGTGTCCTCATCTGCAAAATGGGCGTGATACTGCCTCCTGCCTCCCCAGGTGTTGCAATGGTGAGAGGAGATGTCCATGGAGGCTAGTGATACCGATACAGAAAAATGAGTCCAGTGCTTTTGTGTCTTGTGCTTGCTGTGAGTCAAGGTAGTGAATCACTTTGCTACCACAGAAGCCAAGCATGGGACACAGACCTGGAACCCAGCACACCGGCAGTACACACAGGAGGATCAGAAATACAAGGTCGGCCGGGTGGTGGTGGTACACGCCTTTAATCCCAGCACTTGGGAGGCAGAGGCAGGCGGATTTATGAGTTCGAGGCCAGCCTGGTCTACAGAGTGAGTTCCAGGACAGCCAGGACTACACAGAGAAACCCTGTCTTGAAAAAAAAAAAAAAGAAAGAAAAAAAAAAGAAAAGAAATACAAGGTCATCCCCCATTATATAGCAAGTCTGAGGGCAAACCAGGGTACAGGTGACCCTTGAGGGTTTTTGGTTGGTTGGTTGGTTTTTTGTTATTTTTTAAATCATTTGCTGGAGCCAAGCATGGTGGCTCTCACACCATGAATGGCAGCGCTCTGGAGACAGAGACAGGTGGATCTCAAGTTTGAGGCCAGCCTGGTGTACAGAGCGAGTTTCCTGTCTCCAAATAAATAAATAAATAAATAAATAAATGCCAGCCTGGTGTACAGAGTGAGTTCTCTGTCTCTAAATAAATAAATATTCATTTGCTATTTGTTCTTAGACAAATATATTCTCATCTCTTGGCCTCTGAAAAAATGACATGTTTGGTCCAGGTCAGTGGTGGTCAGCACAGGCTCTGGGAGGCTTCAAATAATGTTAGGGCCCTACTCCATTCAATCAACTAATAAAATCCCAGGGGCAGACCTATGTGTCAATATTTTTAACTTCTTGAAGACATCATGGTCAGGCCTGATGGATCAGGACTGGAATCCACTGCCTGGACAGCTGAGGCAGAAGGGTCCCAAGTTTAAGGTGAGCAACTTAAACTTTGTCCTACAGGATAAATAACAAGAGAGGTGGCCACTGGGCAAGGTGGTGCACACCTCAATCCCAGCACTCAGGAGGTAGAGACAGGCAGATCTTTGTTAGTTACATGCCAGCCAGGGCTACATAGTGAGACCCTATCTTTAAAGGAGTGGGAGTTGGAGGTAGGCCAGAGGCTGTGGTTTGGTGGTACAATGTTCGTCTAGCAAACACAGGGCACTAAACTCAGTCCCTAGTACTGCAAAAGAAATAGTAGACCATGTCTCCTGTTGAGATAGAATTGCCACAGGTCAAGATCAGCCTGTGTCTCAAATAAACCAAACAATAAATAATTACCATCTTTTTTCCAAGCTGAAACCCCTGATCTAGGAAATGCTTCTCTATTCTGACCACACATTCGAATCTCTGAAGGGGCTTTTATAAAAAACGGTCAGGTCAGCCATGGAGGCTTACGTCTATAATCTCAGAATATGGGAGACAAGACCTTGCTAGAACAATACAAAACAAAAATCCATGATGACTGGGTTCAATTGACAAACCACAAACCAAAGGAAAATATTGAGGGGAGGGGGAGGAAGGACAGAGAGGGAGAGGAAGGGGGGAGAATTGACACTCATCAAGTGTCTCAGATAATTCAAAGGAGTGTGCACGCTAGAGATCCCGGATGTAGACGGGTTCTGAAATACTTTTTCTGACCTGGTATCTCTATAAATGCCTCTCACAAGGCTGCAGAGGCAAGGAGACCCTCCAATGCTCAAAATATCCACATCAGCTCTATTTATTTCTGGCCCTGAAGGTGAGCTGGATGGCCAGCTTCAGACTAGCCACTGCTCTGGAGGCAGGGTGCACCACTGCGGCTTTGCTCTGGTGGTCACATACAGGCCTTCATTCATACTTGCAGAAATCCTTCAGTCCTTTGGGCAGGTGGAGCCCATCAATAGCCAGCCTGTGGACCACATTCTTCTGGATCACTAGTCGGCACAGAGTCTGCAGAGACGGCACTGTGGAGAGATGTCTGTCAAAGGCAAACTGGTCTGGGGGAGGCAACACTAGAGCTAGGATCTACCTCTGGGTCCCCATTTGCCATCCACTTGGGATTACCTTCTGCTCTCAGGCTGCGCCTGCCTGGCGGGGCTGCTTGTATAGCTGATGTAAGTCCTCTTTCTGAGGACTTTGGTCAGATCCGCTGACATTCTAACAGCCTAACTAACCCTCCCCCCCTTTGCTCAGCAGCTTTGTGTCTGCTGTGCCTATGCCCACAACACAGTAGCATAGTAGGTTCCAGCTCAACGAATTCATGACACATGACCAGAGGTATAGGTGAAAGGTTCGCTGAGCTACAATGAGCCAGACCTCTGATTTTAAAAGTTGTCAGTCTGAGTCTCAGGAGAGCCAAGGCTACTCAGAGAAACCCTGTCTCAAACAAACAAACAAACAAACAAAAAACTAAAGTTCTCAATCTGGAGCTTGTGACGGCTCTAAACCCATAGCTCCAAATCTCGGAACATTTTTCTAATAAAAACACACAACTCATAGCTGAATGTGGTGGCTCATGGCTAATCCCAACCCCCCTCAGGCTGAGGCAGAAAGGACTGTCAAAAGTTCGAAGCCTGCCTGGGCTACTGATCTAGAGCACCCTTGTCTCCAGAGGAAACTGGTCTCAGAAAACCAAAAATAAATAAATGCATAAAATTTTCAAGAAGCCTCGGATCTAAAATTAGTTTTAGAATCCCTGTCTTAGAAGCTGGGGCGTGTAGCACAGCAAGACTGCTTGTCTAGCACGAATGAGACCGTGACTTGGTTGGCAGGACAAAAAAAACACAAACTTGTGGGGCAGTGGTGGCACACACCTTTAATCCCAGCACTAGGAGGCAGAGGCAGGCAGATTTCTGAGTTCAAGGCCAGCCTGGTCTACAGAGTGAATTCCAGGACAGCCAGGGCTACACAGAGAAACTCTGTCTCGAAAAACCAAAACCAACCAACCAAACAAACAAACAAAAACAAAAAAACACAGACCCCTATCCTATTATTGAAACATCGTCAAAACCAAAAGGAACCTGCAAGGGCGTCTCAGTCAACCAGCTGAGATGAGTACACCGAGGTGGGCCCGCAGCCAAGGTGTGATGTGTGTCAAATCACAAGAGCTGGTCCCCAAGGTGAAGCCAGGCTTTGCATCTTCAAGACTAGTGCCGGACAGTCCCAGGCCTTGCTAGCTGGCTGTGGGGATCCTAGCAGGTGCTCGTTCCTACTCTGAACCAAAAGAAAGTCACTCCAGGGGTGGGATACCTACAGCCATACTCCAGCTGGACCAGGCGCACACTCTTGGTGGAGGCAAACACATCTACCACAGCGTAGAGGGGCTGAGCAGCGGGCAGTCCCCGGGCGCTGGGGCCCATGTCCTCCCCGTTGATGATGATGTGCATGTCGGCGGTCCCATCCTCACGGGGGCAGAAGAGAACACCCAGGCGGCTACGGCGCGCTGTGGGAGGCAGCACGTTTTGTTCATAGAGCTGATCTAAGAGGTGGCTATAAAGCCCTGGCCGGCTGCGGCCCACCAGACGGTCCCGGGGGATTCGGAACTGCTCGATGCGCAGATAAGGTTCAACCAGTAAGGCTTGGGGACCGCTGGGGACCGCTGCCTCTGCTTCTGGTTGACCTTCCCGGGGCACACGGTTGTGGTGGCGCGTGATAGCGAAGACCCAGCTGTGGCCAAGGCTAACCAAGTCAGGCAGTGAAAATTCGGGTACAGTGGTTAGACTGGCCGGGTCCAGAGCGGTCAGGCCAAGACGTAGGTGCCCGCACCAGCCCAACTCTTTTTCCTCTATCTCCACTAGAAATACCTGGCCGGGGGCCAGGGGCTCGCGACTGAAGCACACACCGTGGGCGAAACTCTCCACGCGTGTGGCTCGGGTCCCCGACGGGTCCATGCGGATGTTGGCTCCGTGCACTTGGTGGAAGCGGGTGGGAGGGGGCTCCGGGCGCGCAGGGCTCCGTGGGCCACCTAATCCTACATGTTCGGAGGGAGCAGCCATCTTCACTCCATGAAGCAGGCCAGCTTATGCCAAGGACTATTTTGGGCGGCGGGCTCAGATGGTGACCGCGGGGGGACCATGTAAGGCATTTCCCCCCTGTCTAACTTCCCCCCGGCTCTGCCCGGGGGTCCTAGCGCCGCTTTCTCGGCATGTCACCAGTAAGGGATCCCCAGGATCCAAGGGAACCTTGCTGTGAACACCAAGATCATCTGATCTCTGGCACCCAGACTAATAACCTTCAGGGCTGTGCACTTTAACCTGGTAATTGACCATTCCTGACCCTCAGGCCCACTGACAAAAAAGTGAACAATGAACAAACTGTCACGTGATGTAGAAGCTCACGTGACTCGAACTACACATGACTTCCAGTCCTAAGGCGCCTCCTGGAGAGCAAGGACACAAGGAAGCAGAGGTACGGAGATGCCCGGACTGGAGGGCAGCTGTCGTGGCTCTGTGGCCGGGAGTTGGACCAGGGTGGGGGCTTCCCCCGGAGATGCGCGCCATCTTCTCCCCAGGAACCACTGCACCAAAGCGCAAAGAATCCGGGGAACTGGTAAACATCCTCCACCGATGCTTCCTTCCGCAGATGCCCCGAGCCGCACTGTCTCCACTGCTCTTGCTGCTGCTCCTGTCCTGGGCGTCCCGGGATGAAGCAGCTCCCGACCAGGATGAAATCGATTGCCTCCCGGGCTTGGCCAAGCAGCCCTCTTTCCGGCAGTACTCCGGCTACCTCAGAGCATCGGATTCCAAGCACTTCCACTACTGGTACCCGGCCCTAGACCCGGGGCATGATAACTGGGGGGGCGAATTCTAACGACCCCTGGCAGGACGGGGCCTCTTACTCGTACCAATCCTGCCCTGTGCCTTTCCCAGGTTTGTGGAGTCGCAAAACGACCCTAAGAACAGCCCCGTGGTGCTTTGGCTCAACGGGGGTCCCGGCTGCAGTTCCCTAGATGGGTTGCTTACAGAGCACGGCCCCTTCCTGGTGAGTTGACCATTGCCCCCCTCCCCCATGAGAGAAGGCAGGAGACTGGGAAGAAGCAGGAAGAGGGAGGGGAGAAGGAACCTGTGGCCTAAGTTTGCTTTCCTTTTTAACAATTCTGTTTTCTTTTGTTTTATCTGACCCTTGGCCTAACTTTCTGTACCTCTTATGGAGTGTGACAATACGGAAAGCACTGTGGCCCCTTCTCTCCACCCAGCTGCTCACTGGGACTCACAGGACTATGTCTTTCCTCCCCAGATCCAGCCAGATGGTGTCACCTTGGAGTACAACCCCTATTCTTGGAACCTGGTACACCTGGAGCTGTGGGTCTCGTAGGGTTGTCTGGGTACTTGAAGGGACGGGGACCCCTCTTCTGCTCATTCCCTCCTCCTCCTAGATTGCCAACATGCTGTATATTGAGTCCCCAGCTGGGGTGGGCTTCTCCTACTCGGATGACAAGATGTATGTGACCAATGACACAGAGGTGAGTCTGTTGCCTGACCATTTGCCCCAATCCCCATTTCCCCAAAGATGGCTTGTTTACAGGGAGAGCAAGTCCACTTTTTTGCCCTGTCACGTGCTCTGTGGTAAACGCAACCAGTTCACTTCCTCTTATACAAAATAAAATGGGTTGGGCTCATTATCTCTGAAGAGCTTTCTAGCATAAACGCCAGGTCTCCTGACTCCTTCAATGTCATCCTCAGGTGGCTGAGAACAATTTTGAAGCCCTTAAAGACTTCTTCCGCCTCTTTCCGGAATACAAGGACAACAAACTTTTCCTGACAGGAGAGAGCTATGCTGGCATCTACATCCCCACCTTGGCTGTGCTGGTCATGCAGGATCCCAGCATGAACCTTCAGGTGCAGGGCAGCTATGGGAAGGAAGGGAGGCACCATGGTGCCGTGACCTAGGATTAGCGAGGTCAGCCTAGCCGCTTGTTCACAGCCTACTAGCCGGCCATTGGCTACTCCGGCAGCTCGCATGTCTCCTACAGGAAGCTCACCTGTCTCCCAAGCTGACACTTCTATTCTTTAGATTGCATGACCTCCCCCACCCACCCACCCCCACAAACCACTCTGGATTTCAGCTTCTAGATTGCAGGTCTGGGTTGTAGGTCAAGGGAGGGTCCCCTTTGTTCTCGACCTTCGGAAGAGCTGAGAACGTGGGTGTTTCACAGGGGCTGGCTGTGGGCAATGGACTGGCCTCCTATGAGCAGAATGACAACTCCCTGGTCTACTTTGCCTACTACCATGGTCTTCTGGGGAACAGGTAATGGGAGAGGGACAGTTGGGCAATGTCTAAGGTGGGGCAGTTCATGTGATCTCAGACCTGTCCTTCAGCTTATGAGATTCCTGCTCTGGCTTATGAGCAGGTAGGGGCTGGAGGTGGCCAAAGGGTTTGATGCTTAAAGGCCAAGAATAAAGACTAAGATTTAAAGAAACCAAGGAAGCTAGACATGGTGATACATACCTGTAGCCCAGCACTTGGAAACAGACAGAAGAATCCTGACTTTTAGGATAGCCTGTGCTACATAGTGAGTTTAGGATTTGAGCCTGAACTACATAGAAAATCCTCTCAGAAACATTTCCCCCCTTCTGTTTAAAAAGGCACTGAACAGGGCTACTTGTATGGACTAGAGGGCAAATCCCTGGAAGTTAGGTTTGGTAGCCTACACATCTTCCTCCCCACCCCCACCCCCATCAGGGTCTGATGGGAGGAAGGGAGGAGGCCATTGCACTTCCTAGCCTCTAGGGCCAGCCTCAGCCTCAGCACTTTCTGATCTGCACACAGGCTTTGGACTTCACTCCAGACGCACTGCTGCTCTCAGAACAAGTGTAACTTCTACGACAACAAAGACCCAGAGTGTGTAAACAATGTGAGCTTCTGCCTTCCACCCCAGTCCTTAGAAGTGGCTCACACAAGCCTCTCCTTGGGAACCTAGCTCTCTAGCTCCGTGGCTTCTCTTTGTGGCGGTACTGGGGATTGAACACGGGACCTCATGCATGCAAGACAAGCACTCTACCAACTGGGCTATAGCTCCAGCTCACCCCATTGGCTTTCTGTCCCAAAACCTTCTGATACTGCGGCCTCCTCTGGGAAGTCCAGTGAAGAAACTGAAGCCAAGGATGGTTAAGTTGCTTGCCTTAAGCCACATGGCAAGGAATAGTTGAGTTAGGGCTGGACCCAGATCTAGAAGATTCTTTCCAGTGAGCATTCTACCTGTGAAAAAAGTAGGTGAAGGGTGGTGTCAGGAGATGAGGTAGGACAGCACTTAATCCTGAGAGTGAGTGGGGAAGATCCTGAAGGGACATGGATCTGACTAACAGGGCGGTATGTCTTCATAGCTCGAGGAAGTGTCTCGAATTGTGGGCAAATCTGGACTCAACATATACAATCTCTACGCCCCGTGTGCTGGTGGGGTGCCCGGCAATGATAGGTAGGTGCTGCTGGGTGTGCCTTGGGCCGATACCTACTGCCTCTAGAGGCCCAGCACCCATCCTACCCTTTCTGTCCATTTGTCTGTCTTGTCTGTTTCTGACAGATATGAGGACACACTTGTGGTCCAGGATTTTGGCAACATCTTCACTCGCCTGCCACTCAAGCGGAAATTTTCTGAGGTATGCAAGGGTGTGGGCTCTCCCTGGGGGAGTGGGGGAGTTAGAGAATTAAAGGCCCTCTCCCCTTATGTCCATGCTCCCAGGCACTGCTGCTGCGATCTGGGAACAAGGTACGCTTGGATCCTCCATGCACCAACACCACGGCCCCCTCCACCTACCTCAACAACCCATATGTTCGGAAGGCTCTCCACATCCCTGAGTCGCTGCCCCGCTGGGACATGTGCAAGTGAGCTTCTGTAGCCACTCATGGTGCAGAAGGTGGCCATCAGCTGGGTTCGAGGGAGTCCTGTAACTAGGGCTTCTCAGGAGGGTGGCGTGGACATTTGGGGTGAAAATTAGTCATTCAGGATTTGTTGTTGTTGTTGTTGTTTTTTTGAGACAGGGTTTCTCTTTATAGCCCGGGCTGTCCTGGAACTCACTCTGTAGACCAGGCTGGCCTTGAACTCAGAAATCCACCTGCCTCTGCCTCTCAAGTGCTGGGATTAAAGGCGTGTGCCACCACCGCCCGGCTGTTCAGGATGTTTAATGGCCTTGGCCTCCAGCTTGATTGACAACCAGTTATCTCTGACATTTAATGAGTGGGCACTGCCCCGACTACGGCTCTGTTGCCACCTGGAGCTACCCAGTTCATCCTGTGACCCCTTTAAGTAGAAGGGTAAACCTAGCTCATCAGAGCCCAGTTAAGTGTTTTCCTGAGGGACCGGTGCCTTGCTCTGCTCCGTCAGACATGACCTGCCATTACCCTCAAACCCGCAGGTTCCTACACACTAAGCACCAGTTGTATCCCAGTCACTGAAACAACCAAAAAGTATGCCCACACACCTCCAGCTCCGGTTCAGATAAGCACATCCTAGAGAGAGCTGATATACCCAAAGTTGGGAATCGGGAAGGTTCCACCTGTTGACTGTCCCCCCTCAGTTTCTCGTTTTGTTTTTTCCCTGCATCCTATGCGCATGCTCCTGGCAGCTTCCTGGTGAATTTACAGTACCGCCGCCTCTACCAAAGCATGAACTCCCAGTACCTGAAACTGCTAAGCTCACAGGTATGTGTGTGCAGCACAGCAGGACCCAGCTCCATGGTAGCTGTAGGCGCTAGAGTAACACCACGTCAAGTGGGGCACCTCTGTAGAGCTTGTTCCACCACACCCTGGTTGTTGGTTTACGTTGCTATTATTCTGAGACTGTCTTGCTCTGTAGCCCAGGCTGGCTTTGAACACATAACAGTCCTATCTCCGTGTATGCCAATGTTTGGCTCTGGGAAAAGTTCTTGGCTGTGTTTTCCCTCTGTCTGTAAAAAAAAAAGCCAGTCTGGGTTCCACAGTAAGACTGTCCTATTTGGGGTATAGTGGTAATTTTCTTTTTTTTTTTTTTTTTTTTTTTTGGTTTTTTTCGAGACAGGGTTTCTCTGTATAGCCCGGGCTGTCCTGGAACTCACTCTGTAGACCAGGCTGGCCTCGAACTCAGAAATCCGCCTGCCTCTGCCTCCCGAGTGCTGGGATTAAAGGCGTGCGCCACCACCGCCCGGCTAGTGGTAATTTTCTAGTTGATTCATACTGGACATGTAGCATACAGCATGAGAATTTCAGGTTTCTCTTCTTAGCTGGGCTTCTGAATCCCTGGAAAGTAGGGCTTGAACCAAGGAAGGGCTAAGGGTCTGGGCCCAGTCCACACTCCTGTTCTTCCCCTTGTCCTACTCCAGAAATACCAGATCCTCCTGTACAATGGTGACGTGGACATGGCCTGCAACTTCATGGGGGATGAGTGGTTTGTGGATTCCCTCAACCAGAAGGTAAGATGCTGCTGGGGAGCTGGGCTGGCTGCCAGGAGAGGGCGAGCCTGGAGAGGAGTCTCCAGCCCTGAAATCTTGAGAGCAGCTTTGACCAAGGATGGTGGGAGCCACTGGCATTTGTCTTTCCCAATGGGACAGATGGAGGTGCAGCGCCGACCCTGGCTGGTGGACTACGGGGAGAGCGGAGAGCAGGTAGCCGGCTTCGTGAAGGAGTGTTCACACATCACCTTCCTAACCATCAAGGTAGGACTCTGAGCCTAGTGAGGGACAGCCAGAGCCAGAGGGAGGAGTGGTGTGACCTCTGCTTGCCCACCCTCTGGCCTTTGATCATTCCGGGTCCCCCGTGATGTATCGGGCGAGCTTGCAGGGTAAGGAGGAGGAGAGTTAAGGATGAAGGAAGTGCCCGGAAGTGAGGGGGTGACATGTGCTGGGGATCCAAGTTTCTCATAAAGCTTTACTCCCCAGGGTGCCGGACACATGGTCCCCACGGACAAGCCCAGAGCTGCTTTTACCATGTTCTCCCGGTTCCTGAACAAGGAGCCTTACTGATAGCTGCCGGGACCCATGGAAATCCGCAGTACCTGATCAGCCCTCACAGCCTCTCTCAGTGGAGAGGAGCCCTCCTTTATGCGAAATGCCCCCGTGGGGCCACTCCTGCTCTAAAACTGCCCAGACTTCCCACAGCCCTGTGCATCCCAGCCTGGGCCTCAGGGCTTCACAGACAGCCTAGCACCAAGCAAGCACTTTGTTCCGCCCACAGTAGGGTGGCCTGACCTCCCAGACCTGCATTAAAAAAAAAAAAAGCCCCATCCCAGGACCCCAACAGAGCTCTAGAGAGAGGCCAAGGAGAGGGGTGGATGGATTGTAATTGATGGTTGACTGATTGTGGAATTAAATCGGCTATAGCTTCCAACTGGGCTCTTCTCCGTGGCACCGGGACCACTAAGGCTGATGGGAAGGGGTGGGCAGGGGGTGCTGAGAAGACTCAGTTCAGTTCCTGAATGCCAGCTGCCCAGGTGGGGTGAAGGGCTCAGGCAGCTGCAGCAGAGGGTGGAGGGACACCGGAGTCCACAACGTTGACACCACGGTTCTTGTCAATCACTTCTCGAAGCCCTTTGGCAAAGTGGAGGTCAGCCCCAACGGTGACGAAGCCCTGTGGGAGGGGACAGGGAGCCTTGCTCACCAGTTCAGCTAGTGTGAGGGGTTTAGAGGAAGCAGATAGCACTGGAGTGTTGCAGGAACTGGAAACCCCTGGCCTACATGCTCCTTACCACAATGTACTTACTGCGTGGTTGGTCACCACCTCACGCACGAAGTTGATACCCTCAGGGAGGGGGATCTGCACCCCACGCCAGGTACGCTCTGTGGATGGAAGAGGCAAGCTCAGCCTGGGTGTTCATCAGCCCATCCGTGTTGTCGTGTGCACCCTGCCATCCACCCTGTCCCCACTCCTTCTTCCCACCCGCAGTCCCTACCGTTCAGCAAAGGCATCACTCCGATTTGCAGCAGCGTCTTCAGTGGAGCCTGTAGTGGGATCAGCTGAGGGGGAAAAAAAGGACACAGCGCATGCACATGCGGTTGTGTGAGCGGCCAGCTTGCCCCAGGCCTGGGCCCACCCATTGCCATCCCCAACTCACTGCGAGAGACTCCAACGCAGACTGATTTGAGTAGATTTGAAACCTGTGGGAGAGAAATGCACCATGAAACCTGGGAACTTCCTTTCCTTGGCCACTACCTAAAAGATGGCCCAAGTGACATCATTCCCAGCCCCACCCAATCATCCTTCCAAGTAGCTTCCATTTCCCAGGTGTGCATCCCTGAGTGACCCTCTTGTCACTGGAGCCCCCTTTCTTTAAGCATGCTGCTTTTCATTTGTCGGGAATGCCTATGTGCCATGCCTCTGAGGCTAGGTCAACAAGTATGGTTTGTTTTATCTAACAAAATTCAGCAGTGTTTTACTCCCTGTCAGATACCAAGCTCATTCAAAAAGATTACAATAGCACTGGCAAAATGGCTCAGTGTGGTGAGTAACAGGTCCGACTACCTGAGTTTGATCCCTAGGACACACATAGTAGAGAATGAGCAGGTTGACCTTTGACCATCACATGCACTGTGTGACATGTGAGTGCCCTCACACATAAATGTGTATGCACACAGGCATGCACATACACGAGTTAATTAGAAAAAAAAAAAAAGCCAGCTGTGGTAGTCCATAACTTTTAATGCCAGCACTCAGGAGACCGAGGCAGGTGGCTTTCTTTGAATTTGAGATCAGCCCAGCCTACAGAGTGAGATTTTTGTCTCAAAAGAGGTTTGAAGAGGTACACAATACTGAACAGATGGCTCAGAGGTCAAGAGGGCTTGGCCTCTGCTTCTCCAGAGGATCTGAGTTCAGATCCCAGCACCCACGTCTGGTAGCTCACATGGCTGGTAACTCTAGCTTTAGGACATCTGAAACACTCTTCTGATCTCTCCAGGCTCCCACACATACATGGCGCGCACACACACATTACACACTACACACACAGCACACACATATCAAATAGGGGGCAGGAGAAAGATGATGGTTCAGTGACTAAGAGCTCACACTGCTCTGGGGGACCAGCACCTATGACACACGACATGGAACTCCAGCTCTGGGAGAAGGCAATGCTCTGGGTACCTGCACTCACACTCACACATACAAACTTGAGAGCTGCCATGGTCATACAGGCTACAGGCCTTTAGTCCCAACAGCCTGCCTTTAATTTCCACACTCAGGGGGTAGAAATAGATTTCTGTGAGTTCCAGGCTAGCCTTGTCTACATATTAAGTCCCTGTCTCATTTAAAGGGAAAAAAAAGTCAGGCAGTGGTGGCGCATGCCTTTAATCCTAGGACTCAGGAGGCAGAGGCAGGTGGAGTTCGAGGCCAGCCTGGTCTACAGAGTAAGTTCCAATTACAGGATGACCAGGGTTACACAGAGAAACCCTGTCTTGAAAAACAACAAAAACAAAATGAAAGAACAAAAAGCAAAGAGAAAAGGAAAAGTTAAAATGCTGGACTGGAGACATGGAGTATGTACAAAGCCTGGGCTCCATTCCCAGGGCCACATAAATATACATACATGTGTGGCTGGGGTGTACACACACACACACAGGCACACAAGAGAGAGAGGAGAGAGAGAGAGCACCTGAGTAAAAGGTGCACATGTGTAGGGGTAAATTTGTACATGTAGAGGATGGGTCACACCATTCTCCATGTTTTGAGACAGAGTCCTTTTTTTTTTGTTTGTTTTTCGAGACAGGGTTTCTCTGTGTAGCCCTGGCTATCCTGGAACTCACTCTGGAAACCAGGCTGGCCTCGAGCTCAGAAATCTGCCTGCTTCTGCCTCTCAAGTGCTGGGATTAAAGGCGTGCACCATCACCGCCTGGCAGAAACAGAGTCTCTTACTGGCCCAAGGCTCCAGCATTTGGTTGAGCTGGCTGGGGAGTGAGCCCCAGGGATCTGTTTCCTCCCTAGTTCTGGGATCACAAGCCATTGCCTCTATGCTCAGTCTTTAAAGTGAGTTTTAGGACTCAAACTCATCCTTAAATTCATTCATATCAGCTATCTCTCCAGTCCTTGGGGTTTTTTTGGTTTGGTTTGGTTTGGGTTGGGTTTTTTTGTTTGATTGTTTGTTTTTGTTTTTTGAGTTAATGGTGTTTGCTTGAAACAGTATCTTGCTGTGTAGGTTAGTCTTGACTGACCTCCACCGCAAATTTCCTACCTTAGCTTCCCTGGTGCTAGGATTACCTGGCCGAGCTGCAACATTGTAAACCACCTAGTGACTCAGTCCTCACTCACAGCCCCGAGACTCTGGGACTGTTAGAAATTGTTACTGATGACGAAACTGAAGGTGGTCAAGTGAACAGCCGGAAGTTACACCGCTGTGTGGACTAGACCCTGCCTCGAGATTCCAAGGCGAGCCTCTACCCTGCACTGTCTCACTTCCACCGAAGCAGCACTGAACAACTTCTGTAGCTACACCATCTACTATGTAGCCACTAGTTAATGAACTGTGACTTCGGCAGCTTAACTGCTGTTGAATTATAATTATACAAATGTAGCACATGACCTGGGGCGATGCCCTTAAATACAGCCTTAGGAAGTACAAGGTGTTTTCCCCGGTATTTTGCACAGGAGCAAATGAGCCTTAGAAAGATATAATGTCTTGCATCTGGATTCCTGCAGAGCTGAGTTGATACTCAAACCAATGTCTCCATCCTCTCTGCTATGTGACTGCAGGAGTGTCGTTTACCTAAGCAATTTACTTGTCTCGAAGAATACCTGCTTTGCCTGCTTCTAGAAGATGAGAGAATGCAAGAATGCTTTAAGAAACCGCTGTTAGCCAGGAGTGGTGACCTGTGCCTGTAATCCCAACACTCAGGAGGCACATCTTCTCTGAGTTTGAGGCCATCCTGGTCTATACATACAATGCCAGTGCTACATAGTGAGACATTGTCTTAAGAGAAAAACCAATTTGGGAGCTGGGAGTTGTAGTTCAGTTGGTATAGTGTTGCCAGGCACTAGTTCCCTGGGTTCAGTTCCTGAGCATTGGATAAACAGGACACGGTAGAGTGTGCCTGTAATCCCAGCATACTGAAGATGCAAGCAGGATCATCTTTGGCTACACAGTAAGATAGATTTTGGATGTGTAGGTGCAGGTATATTTGTACCTAGCATGCCTGTGAAGGTCAGAAGATAGCCTCCAGGGCATTAGTCTGTAACGCCTCCCACCTTTTGTTTGAGACTGGTGTTTCTGCTGGTCTGGAAATTCACCACATAGGCCAGACTAGCTGTCCTCTAAGATTGCAACAATCCACCTGGCTCTGGTCATCATCACTGGGATTAAAGGCATGTGTCATGTTTAGCTCTTCCCGTTAGTTCTAGGGAGAGAGACCTTGTGCTTGCAAGGTAAGTACTTTACCAAAGAAACCGTCTCTGCATCCTGGAGTTCAAATCTCTCTCTCTCTCTCTCTCTCTCTCTCTCTCTCTCTCTCTCTCTCTTCCTTTCTTTCTTTTGAAACAGGGTCTCACTAGTTAACTCTGGGTAGTCTAGCCCTCACTGTGTAGACTACAGTGACCTTAAACTCACAGAGATCCACCTGCCTAATGTTGAGTGCTGGGCTTAAAGCTGTGAGCCCTAACACCCGACCTCGATTTCAGTTTGTGTAAGTACTATCAAGGACAGACCCCAGCTTATTGGAGGCTTACAGAAGAAGCTCAGCTTTAGCCCCGTGGTTCTGTTGAGCAGGTATCACTATCCTGGACCCAGCCAGGATCCTTATCAACTGCATACCTTCGAAGGTCCAGCTTTGCTCGAAGCGCCTTGCCCCGGAGTGTCAACTTAGCACTGAGACGGCCTTCCTGATGGAAAGTATGTGGGGACACTATAAACAGGAAAGGTCCACAACCCACTTCTCACCAGCCCCCCAGGTACCCTCATCCTGGGGTTCATACCATGATCATCTTGGACAGCTCAACTTCTGGCAGCATGGGCGGGGCTAAGGTGATGGTGACGCTGGCAGTGACGGAGATGGTGGTGCCTGTCGGCTTGATGGTACAACGTGGAGGGCTCGTGGCCTCTAGCTTCAGCTTGAGTGGGGAGTTAATCACGGTGGGGCTCTGGAGGCAGAGGAAGGAAGGCAGATCATAGTGGCCACTACGGGACGAAGCCTCAGCCCTTTTGGAGGCAATGGGTTGTAAGTACAGATGACATGGTGCCACCCCACCCCCTTTTGACCTATACCCTGGCCCCAAGAGTTAGTCAAAGTAGTATCCTTCCTTCCTTCTCTTGAGATGGGCTCTTGCTTTGTTGCCTAGCTGGTCCTGGAGAACCCTGGACGCTGGTGCTCCTCTGGCTCAGCCTTCAAGTGCTGAAATCATAACAGGCA